GTAAAGGTGCCCGCGCCACGCATCGGTCAGTTAATCAAATGCTCACTAAGCAAATGAATTACGCTTCACGGGTCAGTGGGTGCACGAGTATGCTTTGCAATTTGGTTGCAATGAGTTGATGAGTCAACTTGACTGAGAAGAAATAAAGAAATACCTTAGATCACCCCTGTTCATACAAAGGTACGAAAATACGGAGGGAAACGAGGTCGAAGGGACCCAGATCTCGTATGAGCCTGGGATCGACTTGGAAATGATTTATTTCCAGGAAGGGTATGATAGGCCTTACCAACGGATGGGGGCCGATAGGATCGGTGTTCACACGAAATAATGGCACAGCGACGAACGCTCCATCACGCCTTAGACGAAGGACAGCATCACGCAAATCCAATGCAGCCTGATGCTGATCAGCGTTCGCTGATGGAAGTAGATATCTGCACACAATTTTCAGCAACTAAGAGAGTGACACCCATACTCTCAACTCACGGAAGTGCCACTCTCTGTCATACACAGCGCGAACAAACCATGTCAAAGAGTCATGATAGTGCTCAGTAATGAACTCGGGACACTTACTTGATCTCTGAGTTAACAACTCTTCAAGGTCGGTTGGTGGATGGTAGTCTGACATTATGACCCTCTTTAAAAAAGAAGTTTGGCTCCGCAGTTGGTCATAGCTACCAGTACTAAGGGTGATATTTGTAAGTGTCATGCATGCCACGCGCTTGAAAGACGAAGCAGATCCGGAGACGGTATGCCCATGTGACACAGGCGCGCGGGATTGCCACAAGCCTGGGGAAAAGACCATAGTATGTTGTACGTGCCAAGTGTGTCATGCCAACTATTAGTATTTACCATATATAGCCAATCGCGTGCAGTGGCGGTGACGACACAGCCCGATCAAAGTCGCACCTAATCTCGATTGGACCGAGGATTATCGATTACTCTCCGTTCTCCACGCAGACTCATCCGCTCACCACTTGACTCCGGCATCCATTTCGCGATGAATTTGCCAGTGTCGATGTCCCACGACTTCACTCCACCGTCCCCCCACTTTCCACTACTCACCCTTCTTCAGTTCCTGTCCGAAGACAACCCCATGGTTCATAGCCGTCCCGCCCCCTACCTATTCTCACTCTTCAGGTTCCATACTCGCAATGAGCCATCACCTGAACAAGTCATGTAAGGAGCAGTCACGAGTCCAAGTCTAGACATCTCGCACACGTCCCTCGCTGTTAAATCGTCATGGCACGTCCCTCCTTGCCATCATCTTTTTGCGCCTGCAAAGATTCAAATCAGTACCATTCGAATTTCGCCTCTTCATGAACTCACCGATTTTGTTCTAGACTGCCGGATTCAAATCAAATCTCGTCTGCATATGTTTGCGTGGCTTTCAGCAGGACTTTTAAGAAGTCGCGCCCAAGCTATTACTAGTAAAGTTAGTGGTTCTTGGTAAAGGCACTAGTACCCGGGAGAACGTTAGCTCTGGTTGCGAGAAGTTTTAAGCACAAATGATTCGCAACAGAAGATTGGTTAGCACTATGGACCACACCAGCTAGCTGATTTGTGAACAAGGTTGGGAAGAATTACAATCGAGGGGTTGAATACCGGCATGTCAGCTGCTAAGTGCACTCAGATGGGCGACTCATCACCAATTGGCTCAGCAACTATACCTGCAGGATTGATAGACATTGCCGTCTGTTCCAAGACAAAAGTATGAATATGGAGGGTAGTAGTAGAGAGGATCATTCAAATCAAACTTACAAAATAGGTGTCGGTGTTTGGCGCGGCCGAGTGCCGTTACGATCGTCGTATTATTCGCATGGCAAAATGAAATCCAGTCTCGTCGTGTCGAATCATGCAAAGTCAGCAAGATATAAGGATGGAATCTCACGCCATGTGCAGGTATGAAATTTTCAACCCGTCGTAGGTGTTCCTATCATATATAAGTACATTAATGTGTGTCCTGTCTGCGTTAGGCTAGTCTAGTACACTGATATTGTTACAGAAAATCAGGCGAGTTGTGCCCGTGCAACTTGTCCAAACAGAGTAAAATACAGTTAGTGTCTAGTTATTCCTCCGATGCATCAAATGAACTTCAGATATATGCCGCCACACGGAGGAGCGCAGCATGACGTTAATTGAGGGATCACCTCGCCTATGGTACACGCAGTTTTCCCATTGACACCGCATCATCGCATCTTGGCATCCAGGAAGATGGCTGTCATGCCAATGCTGTTTTAAATCTTCCAAGGTTCCTTCATATCCGCAACACGCATTGTTATGTACCCACCGGCAGGCACGGGGGAGGGGAGATGGTTGATTGATTGGTGGCTCCGACTGGAATCGGAGGGTGCTGAAAACTGGAGTTCACGCCTTCTAGATCGTGAGGATATAGCACACTTTGCGAGGGGCTAAGCAAGACAGTAGTCCCGAAATTGCCTGGTGTCCACAAGGCAACGCTACTCGTGTTGTTAGACTTATGTAAGGAAGGTAAGGAGCGCACTAACTTGGGGTTTGCCATCATAGGTACGACGGAATGCATATCCGAGACAGTCATATTGCATTGCGAGGACATGGGCGAAGTGTGGCTGATCGGTCCCAGCCTGTGTATGAGCATGAGGGCGAATATGAACAAATAAGTGACGAAAGGTATACGAGGATGCATGTGAAGACATGTAGACATTTCCCGTAGCTGGATGACCGGAGGTCCTGGACCCAGCACCTCCTATATCGTGAGGGATTGGTGAATTATGCGGGAAACCATGCGAGACAGCATTTCTGCTCGATGGACTGTCTGACGCCCATGGGGCGATGCTGCTCATGTTAATATATTTATATAAGGATGATAAGGAGCGTACTAACTTGGGACTTGCCATCATATGCATATGGACGACAGCATGCACATCCGAGTCCGACGTGGGTCGCAATGTGTTGCAAGGACGCAGATGAACTGTAGTTGTTTGGACCCAGCCTGTGTACGGGGCTCATTATGTGAAAATAAATGGTGACAGAGGGCATACATTTGGAATGCACATTCGTTGCTTCCCATCGCCGGACTAGCCTGAGAGCTGACACCGCTATTGTGCTGGTTGCTTTGGGGGGTTGGCGCATCATGCGCAAACTATAATTGCCAAGTGCTGTTGATTTTTGTGGTGTTGAAGCAGACATCTTCAAGTTGTGGAATGGGAAAGGCAAGTTTGTTATAGGGGAGAATGGGTTTCCCCCGTATCTTTATACTATACCCATCGCAGCAAACGAAAAATGTCCAGTACCGATATCTGTGAAATTTATTATCGTGGAAATGATCTAAAGAGAAGGTCCGCGGTCTTACGTCGCCTGAAGAAATCGTTAATCTGACATGGTTGAAACGTTTCATGGTGAACAAAGCACGCTCGGAATGGTATATGGACTCTTTTCATACCATTTTACATAACCAACAGTCGAATGTACCTTGGCGGTGGTAACTTTACTTGCCACATGGTGAGAACCAGCGAGCGCTGAAGAAGACCTGTCGGTGAACCTGCCGTTTAGTAGCTGATGTCATGTTGCGCTGCCGAATAGTTACGGTTATCATCCATACTTAATCACTTACTCTAGCCCGTGCTGAGGATCCTAGTACAAAGCTTCAAAGCTTGTGCGGCCAAACTTCTGCCAGGGCCCTGCAGCAGCCTCATCCTTGGAACTCAACTTTCGGCATCAGCTGAGAATTCAACGAGGAGTCCATACAATGTTGCACCACCATTGACTGATCAGGCCTTCAAGTGTGATAGCATAATTAAATTTAAGTCCCACCTGTCGAGCAATCACATCTACGCCAAATCACCTGGGCGGTCATGAAATTGCACCGAAATCTGCGTTCGAGTCGGCAGAAACCTTGTCCTAGTAAATGTTAAGTTGGTGTTCTGACGTGAGAGTTTTACTGGCCTTGATGCGACTTTTGGCCTAAGATGAAAAAGGTGAGTTGCAGGCGGGTGTGACCCTACACGTGGGACCTCCTCGCTGAAGTTGAGCGACTAGGAGCTGTCATCAATGTACTTAGGTACCTGAGCTTATGTGAGCATAGATGGGTATCTTGGCCAGGCTAATTTTGGGACAGGCACAATATGTGCAAGTTGGCAACCTTCTTTCTCTCCATTACATAATCGCTTATGTTATTCCACGTGCTTTCAGACTCTGTTGAATGAGCTGACGAGGTACTTTTTTCAATTTCTGTCCTTTGCAGATATGTACTCTATATAGGACAATACGCTCTAGTCTTAAGGACCCCCCAGTATCCCATCGCATCTCCGGGTGTGCGAATGCCCTGTTGTGAGGCATACCCCAATAGTCCACCGTTCACGTAGGTCGTTTTATACGTGCCACCCTTGCTGATGCAGATGAGTGGGACTATCCTATACGTACTACGTGCCTGAGTGACATCGGAACTCGGGAGCTAAACATGTAAGTAGTACAAGTACATTACATCACATCGCTGTTCGTACTGTAGGAATTTACCGGTTGGCCGAAAGTTGGCGAAGGGTGATAGAAACCTTAAGTGTCGAGTAAGGTAATCAAAAGGGTCTGAAACCAAGATGTTCATGACTGACAAATCTAGACCGGCGAAAAAAACGCAAAGCTTAAGGATAACAAAGAAAAAGATTCCTGGGCCTGATTGAGGATAGCACCATACCACGTGTTGACCGCGGCCTCTACAACCCCAATTGCAAGAAGCCCTCATGCCAACCATCTCAAATTTTACTCTTTCCAAGAACGGCATCTTCTCGTCGTTCATTCAGATTCCTGAGATAGATCTCGGCACCTTTATATAGTCAACAACAAGGTGCTCAATATTTGGCATCTCGAATATCAGGCGGCTCTGCAAGCTCGGCGGCGGCAGCGCAGCCAGCACTCCTGATTGCCACAAGCCTGCGCTTGAGCACACTAGTAGACGAACCAGCCTCCATTTGAGGCCAAACTTCAGTCTCTCACTTAGAGCGGTGGTCCGAATTTTTGGACGAGTAATAGGGATCACTCCTATCAATATAAGATGGCTGGAATGATGTCACGGTAATGCGACTGATGATCAAAATGACGAAAATAAGGGTTGGGGGCTCCCCCTGCACAGAATATGCTGTAAGTTGTGAAGTGAACGCGCACCGCAAGGCACGATGGCCTGGGTAAACGTAGATATCAGCTCAGACTTCCAGTGAACTGAACGCGAGAACATTGAACCAGTAGGTTTGATGGAACGGGCAACATTAACCGGTTACCAGTAATTCGCAAGCATGGCAAGCGCCAATCAGTTGATTCTCCACCAGCGCATCCTGATACTAATCTACTGCGACAGTGGCCGCTTGTTGGCCGCATGATAAATCACATAGCGACAGATTCTGTCTATCGGGAATTTGGCAGGGCGGTACCTGTCTCATTGCACTGGCTGCTGGTTATGCGGACGTGGTCTTGTTGGTCTGCCAATGTCATAATAATATTAACATTCATTGCGGTCCAACCATATATAGATACCGGTGATCAGACATTTGGGTGTGTGAGTTTTTATTTCACGCTTCAACAAAGGGTCCAACCAACGAATGGCTGCTGTCGTCTCCATCCGAGTCTCCATCCTGCGCACAATCCCCCACACTGGTAACTAATCCTGCGGCTCCTGTTTCATCCACCTTAATATTTTACGCAGCATGAGTTTCGTAACTGTTGTTCGCATCTCCAATCCGGGAAGAGCAACCTGCACCCCCATCCACCCTACTGCCTTCCCTCGCTGCCAGCCGTCTCGTTCACGAGATGAAGAATAATTCTTCCCATTCCATATGACCGATAAACCTTTTTCAACGGACCCGAAAGCCCTTTTTTGGTCACCAAATCAACTTTTCACTGGCAGCTGACTCCTGGTCTCTTTCACCGGTCGTGGTTCTTCGTACGGTTTCCTTGTGGATCGTATCCCATGTCCTACATGCTTCGGTGCTGAACGCCGGCCTGTTCATGGCTTGTATGTTTATCTACAGAAGCGTGTTTTTGTGCGACGAACACGTCGGGGTAGTTGATATTGACTACAATACATTTATTGTTGGTACCGATACCTGTGTGGCCACCGTGAGGTGTCCTATCAAAGCAGCAGCGGCTCGCTGTCGAGCTGCTGGACAACTGCAAGCTCATTCGGCGAATTCGGAGTTCGAGATGGATATACTGACTATATTCCCAGTACCCATACTTTTTCCCCATTCGATGACATGCTCGCCGAGGAGTCCCCTGCATCCTAGCAACTTATTACATTCCTGCCTATTGATATTCTCGGGCAAGACCACAGTTTCAAGGTTATGTAGCACCATCCAGTGCTCAAAGCGGTCTTTAATCGGTGGTTGTCGTAGGCTATCAAACGATTGGGGAAGACCAACAGGGTGCCTGCATGGTGCTCGTCATATGGGGGCCCATCTTATCCACCGGTTGTAAACATGGCCTGTGTTTGGTGAGTAGATAACTGCATACACATGTCTGTATCCAATCTCGACTGGACTGGACTGAGCCACGTTTGGAACCACTGTCTTGCAGTCCCATCGATGAATCTGCTCACCACTCGTCGACAATCTTGATTCCAGCAGGGATCACACTGATTCTGTATCCCGTCCATTTCGCGATGAATTCGCCAGTGTCAATGTCCCACAACCTTATTCTACCGTCCTCACCACTTTCTTCCCGTCCGGAGACAACGCTATGGTCCATACTGCTCTGATATCCCCGTCCCGCCAGTCCTCTCATATCTGTTTCCCATTCTTCATGTTCCATACCCGCAGCGAGCTATAACCTGAACAAGTCCATCATTCATTGTCCACCTGGAAAATTATGGCGACCTCGAACCCAAGCGGTGTGTCCTTCAAATTTCTGGCTGGGCTTTATCGTCGATGTCTCCTACCTTTCAACGATAGGCGAATAATCAACTAAAGGGCATACCTCCGTCCCAACTTCATCTAACAACAAAGTCCAAAATATCCCTTATCCATGATATGTTTTTTTAGAAAGTCTCAACGTCTTGACACCAAGACAATGTGCATATAGGTCAGGACAGCACTGGAATTCTAAGCTGGTACGTTTCCCATACATTATCCTCGTGTCCACCTCACAGCTTACAATATATGCTGATGCAGTCTATATCATATCCCAAATTGCGCCTCAGATTATATATCCGCCTCTCCCCAACCAACTCCTTTCGAACGCGCTCGTCATCTCCAGGGTCGCCGATACTCGATACACATCTCGTGCGCATGATGTACATTTTACCGTGTCTCTCACTACACTGGCAAACTATGCAGAATTTTCGCAATCACTGATACCCTGCCATTTTTTTCTTTTGGTGCTTTAGCTAACATTGACGCGTACATTGTGATCCATCATAGCATGCACAGCACCGACTCTCTGCTATAGGACGGTACGTACATTATCATACTGTGCGAGGCGGAAATACATATGATTCTAACATCTTCGTGAGGCCAGAAAGTGAATTGCATGTCACAACTTCACTCCACTATCTCGTTAACATGGAACCAACATGGTGTAAAACTACCTCTCCTCACTCAACTGCTCCTTGAAGGTGTTCTCTTACTCATCTGGTGCGCAAGAGATACATTATCGTGTGTCTCTCCAGGCCTGGAGACAACGACATCAGTTGGTCTTTTAGTTGGATCACAATAAGGGTGTTCCTCGGTGGAATGGACAATCCAACGATGTACTCATTCTTGTATTTGGCAGAGAGGCAAGTAGAAATACAATTACTTCCTTCCCAAACCAAAAGAAGTGCATGTAAGGAGCGGTAAGTTAAGTTATGATGTCGACAGCACAGAGGCGAAACTGGATTCATAAAAAGCGTAGCTCGTACTGTTAAAACAATTCAAGTCTTCTCGTTCATATTCAATCGTCATGGCACGCCCCTCCTTTGGAAAGGTGACCATCGTCTTTCTGCGCCTGCAAAGGTTCAAATCAGTACCATTTGAATTTCGTCCAGCTCATGATCCATGAACTCACCGATTTTGTTCTAGACTGCCGGATTCAAATTAAATCTCGCCTGCAGTATATTTGCAGTGGCGCATTTCGCGCGCATGCTTCTCTATAAAAGTGATATTCTCTCTGCAGGATGGCATCAATGGTTCTGCTTTGTTTGATAGCGCTGGCTATGCCGACTGTTTTGACTGCAGCCTGCGGACCCTGGGGGTGTCAGCACAACTGCTCAGCTGGCATCTACAATTATCTCTCCCTCTGTTAGCCAGTCTTTCCACAGTCCCGAGTCAACGTCCATCTCTGTCGGTACAACCTACCTGTCGATCCCTTCACAAGCTGCCGTCACAACAATCGTAGTCACCGACGTCGTGACAAGTACGATTGCAATCACTCCCACGTCCACGACTACAGTCGTCGAGACTGTAACTGCAACAACCACCGTGATCACTAGCACATCATGGGGTGGTCAGACAGCATGGGCGGCTCCTCCAGACATGAAAGACTTATCCGCGTTTAACGTCACTCACTTCCCCAGCGGGAAGCAGAATATCGCCGTCATCGACAGTATCTCTGCACTCACCATTGTACCAGGAGGATCTCTGTATGCACAGGATATAATTGAGTCACAGAACACAATCAATACACCGAACGTTACGGGCTTCACCGCTGCCTTACAGCTTGTTTACCCGGCAAACTCCGTCAACCCTGCCAGCAAATCCCCAGGTGGGGCAGAGTTTTATGCATCGCCATTGAACCTGAGCGATGCCAAGAATGTCACAATGGAATACAGCGTCTATTTTCCCGCGGATTTCGACTGGGTGAAGGGCGGAAAGTTGCCGGGTCTGTACGGTGGCCATACAGGCTGTTCTGGGGGCGCTGCTGCCGAAGACTGCTTTAGCACACGACTAATGTGGAGGCAAGGCGGTGCCGGCGAACTATATCTAGTGTGTCGATATATTCATGATGTTATGAAAAGGCTGACCTGTTCACAGTACGCTCCAAAGCGAAAGCAAACAAAGGCGTTATGTTCTGACCCCCAGTCAGTCTGCGATTCCGAGTATGGACTCTCAATCGGAAGGGGATCATTCCACTACAGCAGAGGGAATTGGACGACATTGCGCCAGGACGTCGTGCTCAACACGCCTGGAAAGCAGGATGGAGCGTTCGCTTTGTTCGTTGACGGGATGCAGGCGATCAACCGGACAGACATATTTTATCGTGACGCACCTCAGCAGAAAAAGAAGTCGAAATCAAAAACTAAGTCTTCGACATCGCCAACATCACAGCAAACACAAGGTGGTCTGCTGGGAATTCTGGCAGTGACTGCCGCAGCGCAAGAAGCTGTAGCTTCTCGATCATACATCATCCATACGGCACGAGAAGCGCCGACGATAATCGTCGCTGACAAGATCTCTGTTGATAGTACCAGTGATGCCAGCGAAGAACCAGCGGTCGGTTTTGTTGGGCTTTTCTTTAGCACTTTCTTCGGCGGGCACGGAGACGGTTGGGCCACTCCCAAACAACAGTATACGTGGTTCAAGGACTTCGCCATCACGCGGAACTTTTGAATAGAATCCCGACCTATCGAATAACCGCAAAAAAAGTCCTGTCCATTCGCAATCAAAGAACTACCCTGAAAACGATCCATACCGAAAGATTAAAACCACCAACAACCCCAGAACTGCAGACATCACGAGCCACATCCCCGTTCTTGACACTGGTCCAATAGATACCGCCTCTTCCAAAACTTCCTCGAGGGACTTCGCCATCGCCTCCATTCCAAACATCGTCTGGGCACGATCCCGAGCTCTCTGCGAGAGCGCCTTCCTATCTGTCTCTGAGAGATTACAGATTTCCTTCAATGCTTCAGCCCACACCGATGGCTGGGGACGGTAGAGCCATCCGGTCCTTTGATCTGCTGGCTGGTCAACGATACTCTCCGTGGGTCCACCGCTGTCGCAGGCAAGTACTGGCAGGCCACATATCATGCCTTCCACTGGTCCAATTCCGAAGTGTTCGTTAGCTGGGGTATATAATAGAGCGAGTGTAGATTGAGCCTGCAGTAGACCTGAACGCTGCGCGGTGGTAAAGTTTAAGAGGAACAATACATCCGGCTCATTCGGGGTTATCTCCGGGAACGACGGTACTGACACGCGGGACTGTAACGGGGTGATAACGTTGTAAGTTAAATCATTGAACTGTGCCAGTTCAATGAGAGATTTCAGGGTGCGTATATTATCCTCTACACGAGGATCATAGCCACCTGGAAGATGGTCAGCGACAAACTCGTGTAATGACTGTTATCCAACCGACCAGCAAGAACCAGCCTTACGTCTGATGTACTCGGATCCTTGTTCCGCAGTATCGCAAATGCTTCTATTGCCAAAGCAGCATTCTTCTTCATTTCAAACCGGTTGAGGGACAATAATGTTCGCCGTTGTCTTCACCGAGTGTTTGAATGATTGATGCATGAAAGAAACAAAAAATACACTCACGATGCGACCTGACGGATATCGGGATCTGATGGGTCGGTTGGTGAAATATAGGCTGCGATATTAATACCAGGATAGACGACTTTCAGCTGGTGTGTGAGGGAAGAGAAGTGCGACTTGGTTACTCGTGCAGTGAACTTTGAGTTGGCGAGAATCAGGTCAGCCTGTGCTAGATCTGTGTTAAATGTGAATTCTGTGCAAGCGGTGGTACACATACTCGTAGTCGCCTCCTCTAGCCAATCCATTGGGAAACGATAGATGTATTTCAGGATACCAACATTCTTCCCCCGCTGGTCCTCTACGTAGGCACCGTTCGCAAGAAGCTTGTCCGGAAAATGGCAGTAGAAAACAACTCGTTTCCCACAAAACATTCGGAGGAAGGGTATGCAAGTAGAGAGTTGATCAACGAAGAAGACGTCATATTGATGCGCTGATGTGCACATGAGGTGCATTGTGAGATGTAGCTGCCTTGCATGTGCAAACATGATATGAAACTTTCCCTGTATGGACCGAGGTAGCGGTGGAATTACATGATGGACGGACAATCTTCCTGCAAAGGAGAGCTGTATAATGATGACGCGGTCACTGAACAAGCGTTTCCTGACATACCATCTCTTGTCTCGTCAAAGCAGTGGTGCTTGTCGTGATGAGAGGTGTATATATCCACAGAGTGACCCAGGGATTGTAAACCCAATGCAGCATCTACAACCAGCCTTTCGGCTCCTCCTACGTGTCATAATGTGAGTTGGGCTCTATATTCGAATTCATCATGACATACACACCGATTCCCAAGTCAGGGTGGATAAACGCAATGCGCAACTTTGAGCTCTTCACCATCGTTCAAATTAACGAGCAGTACTGCTCAGTGCTCATATATCATGATGTGTTGCGTCCAACGAATTGTGACCCATTACGTCTGTCACGGGTCACTGTCGGAAATTCCTAATTTTGGTTGGCATATCTTAAAATAGCGTGCAAGGTCCCAATTTGTCAGTGGCATTGCGGTCCGGTTGCAAGGGATCCCGAAAATTATGGAAGCTGCTTGCAAGCGATACAGACATTCTTCCAAGACGGTCCCAAGACCATTCCAACGCAAGGTCACGATTTTGAAAACAACTGAAAACACCCCTCATTGGAAGGTCATTGCAAGTCACATGATATCATTCCAAGCATTTCGAGGACTTGTAAGGACGGTCTGATTCTTTTAAGGTAGCGATTTGAATTACAAGTTGTACAAATTACTAAATACCAATTTTCTGATGTTTCGTACCTTCTACTGGGGCATTGCACCAGGTCAAAACCTTCAAAAGCGGCTCTAAATCCTGCAGAAGAATCACGTCAAGTACAATAAATGTGAATAGATAGACAAGCTCACCTCTAATAGACCAACATGAGACACGGGGCATTCACGGCGAGAGTGATATGCACCATTTCAGCGTCAAGTACATAAACGGAATCGGTACTGGCTATTGATAGGACTCCCCAGTCATCCTGGTGCCGTTTGTTCGAGGAAATGGGAGTGGCAGTGGCGGAGGATGTAGATGAGAGACATCTGACGGTGAATAGTGATTCATTGCTTTGTCGATGGGCCAATGAGGCAAGCTATCAATATGCATAATGTCAGTACTAAGCTTGGCTGAAGAGTTCAACAATTCAAACACACCTCAATGTCAGGTTCAGATGTCATGCTGATTGTTGGGTGGCTAGGGTGTCGCTACCGCTGAGGAGTTTTATTAAATTGGAGAGAAGCTAGAGAGATTCTGGAGATGGAATTCTAAGACAAACAAGAGATGATTGTGGTTGAAGCGAAGTGTTGCAAGCCTAAGCGAAGACAAACTTCAACATTTGTTTGGCCTTGTATTAATATATCCATTAATGGAAGTTCCTTCTGTCATCAGACACGTCGTTGAAATCACATTTGAAGTCCATACACAGTCGACAAAAGCATGTAGTTTGATAGAAAGTCTGTACTAATGTAAGCTAATTTTGGTGATAGAGCGGTGAGGATGCTTCATTTGCCCTTCCAGCCTGACCGCCTTACAACAACAGCTTCATCTTCACCCTCCGCAGTTGTCTTGCCTTTGCGCCGTGCCTTCGGTTTTGCGTGTGCTTTAGTTGGAGCAGGAAGGTCAGATTCAGCAAGATCCTGATGCCTAAGATTGAGTTCATCCATTGCAGTAGTGATAGATTCTGAACTTCGAGCCATATTGATGACAGGGGGAGCTGCAACAGCTTGAGGGGGAGCCGAAATTGAGGGAGCTGGAATTGAGGGAGCTGAAGTATGGTGAGACACAGGTAGTAGCTCATTGACTTGGACATTACCGCTATTAGTATTGTCATTAGCATGTCGTGACAGGATTGGTGGTGTGCCAGTCATCAACAACCGGTTCTTCTAGTTCATCTTCTATTGCGCAATTGAAGTCTTCTTCCCATGTGTGACCCAGTCCGTCATCATTGAGAGCAGTAGAAGGGGGAACATAAGACGAAGTTCCTGAGAAAAGGGCATCATTGAAGAATGTGATGACCTGGTGCACCCAGGCACCTCCAGTCAGTAAACGCTGACGGTAGAAGTTGTGGTATTCGCGGTACGGAATCTTCATAGTGTCACCAATTTCAGTGAGTTCTGCATCACCAGAGAGTAGGAAGATTGCCTTGTATGAGAATAAGTCACGACTCTAACAACCACACAAAACTGATTTGGACTCACCACGACAGCAGCAGCAGCAATCATACCTGGCGTTATAGCTCGCAATTTCCAGATCTTGGCTTTTGTCCTAGAAGACGCAGCGCCTGTAGGTGCCAATGACGACTTGCCGAAGAGTGATACTTTCAAGACCTATAATCATATATGAGTGTGTTAGCCCGTATTGAAGTATCGAGCAAAAAGAGATGTACCTGCACGAGCTTTGCAGTTTTCAACAACTGATGCGGTACTGGATTATCAGGTCTAGGAAAAAGCACAGGTGCGAACTTTGTGTACTCTCCATGGGGACTCAGTAGAAGAGGGCGACAGTTAGGGTCTTCATTTCGTTTGTAGCCTCGTATGAAGATGCTCGCGTTGAGACCAAAGATTGCACTTGCGCATGATTTGACTGTCAGATGCCATTTCAGAATGAGCAGTTGCTGACGCCCCTACCAAACTATTACATTGATTGTCATTAAATGATTGGAATGTAAGAATGGATAGGCATACCTGAGATCCGAAGTTTTGATAGCTCATCAATTCACGTTCTTCTTCAGGAATGAACTTGAAGAGCTCGGCCCTCACACCATCCTCCATCGAGACTCCTGTAAGCCAACGCTCCTTGCTATTGAGGTCGATGTCTGGACAGGTGCGAGCTGACAGTGGGAAAAGTTCGATGTTGATCCAAAGGCAGTGGGTTATCGAGTATTTCCTCCCAAGAGCTCGTATGGTGTCTTCCTTGGCCGCCATCGCAAGATCATTCGAAGTAAGGTTACGACGCTTGCGGCCTTTAGGTACTGCAGCCTCAAGGAGTGCATTCTTCTTTATAGCCTCACGGCATTTACCACGCAAGTCGAGCAATAGTCTCTGCGAGATCTCGAGGGCCTAGTAGTAATAATCTGTGGTAAGAAATGTGAACTTTCTAGCAATACAATGACTTACCTTGCACAGCTCTTGAGATGTCGCATCTGGAGGTGCAGGAGCAAGCGCAGCGCGGACCTGGATGAGCTCTGCGTCCGAGTCGTCTGAATCAGAATCCGACGAGAACTCTGGATCAGTGCCTGAGCTCGACTCTATAGTTGCTGCGTGACAGTGTGCTGATGGCATGATGGCAGACGACTTCGAGTTGAACTCAGGATAGAGCTGGGAGACTAGGATTATTAGTGTCAGTGATACATCGTGATTATATCAGTCAAAATTCGCTTACCGCTGATACAGACATTTAGGCCTTGAGGGTACCGCATGTTGCAACACGTACAAAACCTGAACATGAGTGATATTAGCTGTGGCATTAGAATGGACCTACTACTTAATGGGGATGCACCATGTAATACGAAGCATGCGACGTCGACAGGGCATCCTTATTACGTCGAAGATGGTAATACAATTGGAGTTTGGTCAGTATATGAGTTGCGGAGGCGAACAAAAAACAGAATCCAAGGCACAATAATAGAGTCCTAAGGTATAGTAAGATGAGAAAGCCGTTGATAGAGGTGAAGGTGAAATTGATGATACAGATGGGATGGGAGTCTCAGAGCGCCGTGTGATAGAGGTGAAGGTGAAATGGATGATACGGAGGAGATGGAGAGTCCAGTGACAAGATGAGCTATGTAGAGTGCTCTTGGTAGAGGTGAAGGTGAAATGGATGATACAGAGAAGATGGAGAGTCCAGTGACGAGACGAGCTATGTAGAGCACTCTTGGTAGAGGTGAAGGTGAAATGGATGATACAGATGGGACGGGGGAGCGCTGTATGTTAGAGGTGAAGGTGAAATGGATGATGCATGTTAAGACCGTACTCAAGTAGTATCGGATCCGAAGGGCTTCGGCCTCAGCTCGTGCGCTGTGCCCCTTTCCCGAGTCTTGCCCCTTATTTCAGAGAGCTAAAGTATCGCGTCTAGTGAAACGGATAAGTATTGCAGTGGATCCATTAAGACTTCCGGATATCGAACGTATAGAGTAACGGCCAATCCGGATCGGATCCGGACTAGAAACTAACGGGTGAGGACTGTCCGAAGACAGAGGCGGATATGTAGACTATAGGAATCTCTCCTAAGTCTCGGAGTAGACAAGAGTAGCGTACTCAAGTCCGGATGGATAATGGAGGGACTCAGAGTCCAGACGGAATGAGTGCAATCTAAGATGATATTCGAACTGATCTACTACAGCGCATATACAAAGGTTTATATACTACGGATAGCTAACGGAATGATCAATAAGCAAAGGTGCGAGGCTATGTACGAAAGTATAAGCAAAGTCTAAGTGGAGCGTATTGGTAAGTTGGATGGATCACGAATCATGAACCGGGAATGAAGTACAAGTAAAAGCGGATTTGTAAGTGTAGCGGATCAGTAAGCATAGCGGAAGTAAAGGATAACCGGTATACCGGTGTACAGGAATACCGAAAGGAGATGAACGATAGTTAGAGTTATATGAACAGGAAATGAAATAAGAATCAAAGCGGATCTGTGGACCGGACGATGGATATGTTCATCGGATCTGGATCGGATCTGAGATCCAGATCATCAGATCTGTAACCGGATATATGGTATATGACAGTATCCCCCCCTTAGGGCCGATCCCTAGAGGCACAAGAATCAGCGATCCGGAACGGATGGTATGAGTGCGAGACAATGGAGAAGCTGATGGGAGAAGTTGCTGAGTTCGGATTCTGACAGATATACGGATGCCAAAGCGTCGCAGGGTGTTCCTTCCTTTCCCTACTTTTTCACTACCACTAGCTTATCTCAACCATGACTGATAACGGATCCGGCTCTAAGAAGACCGCTAAGCAGACTCTGGCGGATATCCAGGCCGCGCTGGCTGCTGCTGAGGCCGAGGTTCGGAAGGAGGAAGAGGCTGAAAAGCTGAAGCAACAAGCGGAAGAGGCGGAACGGAAGCGCTTGGCAGGGATTAAGAAGATTGAACGGGCTGAGGCCCGAAGGGAAGCGGAGGAGGCTAGGCGCAGGGCTATAGTGGCGGAAATGGTGAGTTATGACTTGTTCTATCGGATCCGTCCCTTATCGGATCTGTAGTCTCGCGCCATCTCAGTGGATAAGGATGGGGCTTGTACCCGCTGCGCTAAGAAGGGTCGGGCCTGTCTGTGGTCCGATGCGGATAGCAATTCCTTGGTAAGTCATCCTTGAATCTTCGGATCCGTGACTCTTAACATTCGGATAGATCAAGGCTTGTAACGCGTGCCGGAAGGACAAGGCTCCTTGTCCCGGACGACCTGGAACCGTTACGGATTCCAAGTCTAAGAAGAGGCAGCGCGCTGCTGAGAACCCATCTCCGAGAGGCAAGGGTAAGAAGCGCCAGCAGAGTCCGACTCCGGATCCGGATATGAAGACGGTAGTAGCGGATGAGGTGGAAGTGGAGTATGATGATCAGGCCTGGGTCGTGGCCGCTAATAGCATTGTAGCGGAACTGGCTCGGACCAACGGATTGCTCCAGCAGAGCATCAGAGCGGCGGAAGGGAGTAGGACTGCTATAGAGCGGGTGAATACTAACTTGGAGGCGTTTTTGGAGCAGCAGAGGGAGTTCCAGACCATCCTTCTTGAGGGGATCCGGAATGGAATCTGGATTACAGAGGCGGCTCGTTCTGAGGCCACTGACAAGGACGTTGATGAATCCGGATCCGGATCGGGTGGGGACATGGAGATGGATGGCTGAGGATTTTCGGATCTGCCTTCTCTGCTACTAATGTACTTGTATATCCGCTTTGTATATTCATTGTATAGCAATAGGACCGGGTTTGTCTGGATATGCAGTGTGGAAATCCGAGACTAGATCGGACGCGTTTCCGAGTTCCGTGGCTAGTAGCCATGAAGTCTCTTCGTCTGTTCCTTCGTATCCGGACCATCGGACGAGGTACAAGAGTTGGCATTGTCTTCTACGACGGTCCAGCTTAGAGTCTAGGATTTCGGATATCTCATATTCTGGTTCTCCGTCGACTTCAACCGGAGGTGGAGGAGGCTGGATCCGATTGGGAATTGTGTTCGGAACGGATGGTTCTAGCTGTGAGACATGGAAGACGGGGTGGACGGATTTCATGGATTCGGGAAGTCGGATGGTAAAGGAATGGGTACCCGGACGGGATATGACTTCAAACGGACCTAGATTCTTTTCCGAGAGTTTCTTAGACGGACGAGTGGACCGGAAGTACTTAGCCTTGACAAAGACTTGGTCTCCGATATTGATATCCGGAGCAGGTTTCCGTTTAGCGTCCGCAGGTCCTTGATATCTTTCTTGGGCGTGAGCCATTTCTTCTCTAAGGAATTGGTGAAGGTCGTCGAGGTCTATAGCATAGTCGCGAGCGCGGATGGAGGATAGATCGCGTTCCGGATGGACGGATATGTTCGGATGATAACCCTTATTAGCAAAGAAAGGCGATACTCCGGTAGTAGCACTTGGAGCGTTATTGTAGGCAAATTCTGCTAAGGGAAGTAGTTCCGACCAGTTGTCCTGTTGATAATTGCAATATATCCGAAGGTATTGTTCCAGGGTTTGGTTGGCATGCTCGGTTTGTCCATCCCCTTCCGGATGATATCCGGATGTGAAGTGGAGGACCATATCCAATGCTTTTCCTAAGGATCGGAAGAAGTGGGATACAAACTCTGTACCGCGATCCGAGGTGACATGGGACGGAACTCGTGCTTGGAAAACACATGAAGTAGGAATAGACGAGCGAGATCCGGAGAGGTAATGGTATCGTGAGTCGGAACAAGTATTGCTTGTTTGGATAAACGATCTATGATAACGAGGATGGCTGTAAAGCCTGATGAGTCCGGAAGTTGCTCTATGAATCCATGGATATGGAATTCCAAGGCTTTTCCGGTATGGGTAGTTTGCTTGAGCAATCCGTAGGGTTTATGTCTCGGAACCTTGGCTCGGGCGCAGGTAGTGCAGGACCGGACGTAGTCCTTAACATAGGTGCGTATACCCGGCCATGTATACTCGCGTCGGATGAGGTCTAGGTTCGGTTTTGACCAAAATGTCCGGATAAGGGGTGATCATGAGTATTACGGAGGACGCGAAGTTGAAGGTTATCGGATTCTGGGACATATATACGGTTGTCGCAACGGAGGAAAACCCCTATCGTCCACTGTCCATCTCGGATCTGAAGGTACCGGAAGATGGTTGGTTGCAATAGGGTCATTAGGAAGTGCGGTCAGGATGTCTTTCGAAGGTCATCAATATCCATTAGAAACAGCTGCCTCTAGAACCGGAGTTGCTAAGGTTGAGGCTCGTAGGGACGAAGCTAACTGTTTGGACGTGAATACCGGACGGAAGTTATGAGGGTTAACTCGAGCGTAGTCCTTATCCCCCCTCTTTGGATAGACGTCCCAGCGTCTAGTAAGGGAATCCGGTTAACTCCGAGTTTTCCGGGACGGAAGCGGATGACAAGATTGAACTGATGGAGGAATTCCGACCAGCGGGCCTGACGGCGAGAGAGGAGTTTGGTAGTGGCGAAGTACTCAAGGTTCTTGTGGTCCGTGACAACATCTACAGGCTCGGCGAGCCTTCTAGATAATGTCGCCAGGTCCGGAAAGCTTCGTATATAGCTAGAAGTTCCTTATCGTGGGTGTCATAGTTTAAGTTCCGGAGCGGTTAGCGTTCGAGAGTAGAACGCTAACGGACGAAGCTCTGAGTCCGGACATACTATGGATAGTATTCCAGCTATAGCGTAGTCAGAGGCATC